AGCCTCGACATGGTGCTCGCATACCGACGATTGTAGACAAACTGGCGGACTTGATGCAGCTTTTGCTTTGCTTCCCCTATGCGGTAATGCAAGGACTGTAGCTCGAAGTTGCTGTAGGAGATCATAACCCCCAGGTACTTGCTACAGGAGACCCACTGGAAGGCGGGGAATGATTTGTTAGGCCCGATGCGCCATCCACGGACCTGCTCGCCCTTGGAGTTTGTGATCCAGCAGCCGTGTTTGTTCATCACGTTTTGAGATTCTCGACCCGCTAACTTCACCAGGATGACACACTTGCTAATGTTGACTCGTAGGCGGTGCTTGCGGACTTCCTCAAGTAGCGCTGCAATGAGCGCATGAATGGCCCTGAGGTCCTTGTCAGAGCGGATTGTCCGGTGAAGCGTGAGATCATCAGCATATCCTGTCAGGAATTTCAAGACCTGCTCAGCGCCGAAAAGGTCAACCAAAGAGCGGAAAAGGTCACCTGTGAGGAAAGAGAAGAGTGTGGGGGCGAGCTTACATCCTTGTTTAATGCCTGCTGTGGTTTCAACAGAGGTGGAGTCTCCCTGTGCGTGAAGGACATACCGAGACCCGTCATGTAGAGCCTGAACGAGGTGGACTGTGTCCTGATCTGCCCCTTCTCTTTGAAGTAGGTCTATGATCTCTTGGCGAGAGACGGTGTCAAACGCTTGGCTGACGTCGAGAGCAAAAGTGAGGCCGCCGACTAAGGCGGGGAACTGTATGCCTTGTTGCAAGGCGTGTCGCGTGGGGTGGGCCTGTTCTAACAGGGATCGAGCCTCACGCAAGTGATGCACCACACGTTCTAGCGCGTCTGACAGCCCCCGACCTGGCAGGTAAGCAAACTGTGGCATGTGCTTGAGGAACGAGAGGGTCAATGGTTGAAGTGCTTCTCTGGCCGCTCCCGCCAGTCCCTTCGCATCAGGTCTAAGGATGCCCAGGGGTCGCAAGTTTGCTGGTTTGTCGGAGGGCTTGCCCGGCTTGGGTATTAAGCAGAGATCCGCGTCTACGAGGTCAGATTCTAGACTGTCCTCGGCCTGCTTGGATGCTACGTGTTTGGAAAGTACCGGTGCAACGATGTCACTACACAGTCTCCATACAGCCGCGGGTGCGGCGCCGTCTGGAACAGCTTTATTAGGCTTGATGGTATGTATGTGAGCTGCCAGCTTGGGCGGCTCCAAAACAGGGAATGCACCATGCATGGTCCTTAACGGAGGATGGGCCGCAAATATCTGATTGGCATAGTCCCTGAGGGCTGCGAGCTCTTGCGCCGGGCCTAGGAGATGTCCCGTGTTGTCCTTCAGCTGAGCTCGTCGCGCAGGCTGCCAAGGCTGCAGCTTTTTGAGGGTCTGAAAGGAGATATGCTGGTCACCTTCAGCCAGACTCGCATCTACTTCCGATATGAAACTCGCAATCCGGTCTTTCTTGGCTTGTTTCACCGCTTGGCGGTGTGCCACCTGTGCCAGCTCAGCTTCGGTGTCCGGCGGACAAGGCGTGCTCGGATTAGGAGGCTGTGCCATTGCTTTAGGTGACTCGATCAGCTGTGCTGAGGGAGCTGTATGTGCAACCCTGTCTTGGGTGCGAGCCCGCCACATGCGTCGGGTTTCCGACTCCAGCGGGATCTGTCTTCGTTTCGGAATTTTTGGGAAAAAGCGTTCCGCACCTTCCAGAAGCAACGCATTCCATGCCTTGGGGTCCTGGCAGGTGTCAATTCTGGAAGCGATCCAACTGTGCAGTGCCTTTGCCGCTTCGTCTTCTTCTCTGACCGATGCCTGTAGAGCGAGTGAATCGTACCGGCGCGTGCTGGGCTTATGGGATGGAAGCAGCCAATGGTGTTGGAGGGGTACGTCAGCCTTTAGCGGGTAATGTCCTCCTTTCTTCCAGCTGCCCAGCGGGCAGTCAACCCAGGGGGCAGACCGTTTGGCCTTACCTCCCGCCGTAGATTCTTTCGTTAGAATGAAGTCAATTTGCGACTCCACTCCCCCCTGTGAGAAGGTAGCTATGTGGTCACATTGCCAGGTGTTGAGGGCTACCAGACGCAACCGGAGCAACAGATTAAATAAGTGGGATTCGTCAGGGCGGTCCTCAGTGGGTGGCTTCACATGCGTTCCCACCAATGGAGAGCTCGGGCGCAGGGAGGTATTAAAATCACCTGCTACAATAAGAGAGTCCCTCTTAGGCACCTGCTTGATCACCTTGGACATGACAGATAGTACCTTAGCTCGGTCATCCTTGTTGGACTGGATGGTCTTGGCGGAAGACCAGGCATGTTGGTACACCGCGACGACGACCAGCCTAGTACCTGCAATGTCAGCACGAGCTTCTAAGACCCTACCCGGGCTCCACTCTTTCCAGCGTAGGCTCTTGGGGACGAACTTGGGCGAGAAGAGGATCATGACCCCATCCGCACGAGTCGTGGAAGGAGCACGCGGTTCTTGCCTAGTGTTACGCTTCGCAGCCTGTTTTGGCCGGGTGTTGGGTTTGGGAGACTCCGAGGCTGAGGAGATACAGTACCACCCCGAGACGCTGAATTCACTGGTCTCAGTCCAGTGCGTTTCCTGCAATATTAGGATATCGCAGTGATGAGAGGCTTCAGCTGCTAGCCAAGTTTTTGAGTTCGCCCCATTGCTGCTGGCCTAGGTGGCCCGCATTCCACGAAATAACACGAATGGATCTTTCCAACCGTCCTGCCCTGCGGGAGGCTGTGCCATATGCAGGGGAGTCAGCAGTCTGTGACTGAAGCTCTCTTCGAGTGGGTGGGGGGCGTACCCCCAGACGATCAACCAGGGTAGGTGTCAGAACCTGCCCTCGGTATGGTACGGGCCCGTCACTACGGACTGTCCTTCTACATGCTGTCTTGAACGAATTCTTACGAAGAGATGCAAAGTTTTGTGAGTGCACTGGCAATTGCGCCATCCGCTACTTTCGTCAAGAGACAGAAGCCTAATGACTCCCTCCACCGCGCGGAGGTGGAAACCCTACCGCCTACCCAGTGTTGCAATGTTTTAAACAGAGTCTGGGCCCAGGAATTGGGACCTGGCGGCTCAAAGCAGCTCCTGTGAGAAAAGGGAGAGGACCATGGCGTAGAAGGAGGCGCAAACCTTTACTGTTCAGAAAAGGGCCCGGTTGGAACCTCTAGCACAGCAGTTGCGCCCCAAGCCTGTTCAAAACCTCTCATTCAGCGCGGCCGCTTGAGCACTTGTGGCGGCTACTACTACTACTACTACTACTACTACTACTACTACTACTACTACTACTACTACTACCACTTCCACTACCACTACCACTACCACTACCCCTACCCCTACCACCACTACCACTACCACTACCACTACCACTACTACCACTACCACTACCACTACCACTTACCACTACGACTACGACTACTTTCTACGACTTACGACTACTACTACTACCGACTACGACTACGACTACTACGACCTACGACTACGACTACGACTACTACTACTACTACTACTACTACTACTACTACTACTACTACGACTACGACTAACTACGACTACGACTACTACGACTACGACTACTTACGACTACTACTACTACCACCACTACCACTACCACTACCACTACCACTGCCACTGCCACTACCATACCATACTACTACACTACCACTACCACTACCACTACCACTACCACTATACCACTACTACTACCACTACCACTACTACGACGACGACTACTACGACTACTACGACTACGACCTACGACTACGACTACGACTACTACTACTACTACTACGACTACGACTACGACTACGACTACTACTACTACGACTACTACTACTACCACCACTACCACTACCACTACCACTGCCACTGCCACTGCCACTGCCACTACCACTACCACTACCACTACCACTACCACTACCACTACCACTACCACTACCACTACGACTTTTGACTTTGACTTTGCATCGCAGCATCGTCGAGCGGTGCTATGCGCCGGTAGACCAAACCGTTTAGGTTCGGCTGCTCCACGCCGTATGAGCGATAGCAGCAATGCCGTGGTGGCACTGTCCAAGACACTAATGAAACTAGGGAGTTAGCATAAAAGCGACAATCCCGTGCCGAAGCACTCAGCGGATCGTCAACCGTGTTTCACGGTTCTCACTACAATTAAACACTAGGTAACTTGGCGAAGCCCGATCAAGTAACCATTGCTATTGACAATGTTTTCAACCGACGAGCTCTCACTCAAAGGAACATTGTCATCTGTAAGGTGAAAGACATATCCATCCCCGGGTTTGCCAGTGTCACGCTTGCTCAAGCCAGTCAGAGCCGTGCGATAGTGGCCTGAGTGAGGATTGGCACCCAAGTGAAAGACCACTGCCATGACTTCATACTGTATGGTATAAGTTGAGTCATCGGCTCGGTTGCAGAAGCACGGAATGCGAACAATCGAGCCTGCAGCAATGGAGACATCCGTAAAATCTTTGATGGTTTCTCCACGCCGTCGAGTATATCGTTGCAGTAGAAGTACAAGCAGTTGAGGGGCCGGCTGGGTTAAAGCATGAAGTCCCATGTGCAGGCGAGCATGCCAATGAAAAATGCAATGTTGGAGAGTGCCTCCGCGAATCTCCAGAGCAATGGGAACATGGCATTGACCTGAATCCACAATGGTCAAAGGGACTGCATCTCCAGGATCAAGGACCCTAGCTTCCCAGCGACCAAAATAAGCTGCCGGCTTGGCAAATTCGAAAAGATGCGAAACAAAATCTGCCACATCGTGTTGAGCATGTGGCCTTTGCCATCCTGAGAGTGCATGTTGCCACGGTAAAAAGGAAAGAAGAGAAACCTCGCCTTGAGCACGTTGCAATATCTGCATCGCCATCGCAAGCCTGCCAAAGGAAAACTGCAAGTCAAGCCCCAGCCCAAGCCACCATAGCATGAAGCAGCTCGCATTGATGTAGCAGACATTAGAACGATTGCGAAGAATAAATGCAGGTGCAGGAGGAGGTCGCCTCAGAGGGTGGGCTCCGCGGTTGGAACCGGCGTCGATGCCGTGGCTGCCACTGTCGCCTGATCTGTCGTCTCCTGCTGAGGCCCCGTACGAGCCCTCCAGTTTTGCACTGGGGGTGGAAAACGTTCTGCGATCACTCGAGCCAGAGGTTGCCTTTCCATTTTGGCCATCTTGAGCCTCAGCCCAATCACCTTCCCGCTCATGTTGTGACACAGCTGCTTCATGAGACCAAAGGCCCTGTGAGAGGCCTCCTCCCGTAGTCCTAGCGACAAGAGGAAGGTCACCGTCGCCCTTCGTACTGCTCCGCCATGCGTCTGGTCGAATGGAACCTCTGCAGAGTGCTGGGCTGCTGAACCTCCTCCTGTAGCCGTTGCAAGGTCTCGATCACCTTGCTGTTCTCCATGGGCTCCTGGGTGGTGTCCTTGATCAGGGCCGAGTCGGTCGCACTCCAATGCATGAAGTACCAGCGGAGCTCCGGCTGGCCATCCCAGGTCGTGGCATACCCCAGGCCTTTGACCTTCTCTCGCAACTCCTCGGCCTCCGGGGTGGTAGCCGTCATGGCCTCGAGTCGCTGGATCCAAATCTCCAGAAGTCCGAGCAGCAGTGCCTGTCTCAAGGGACAGTCCACTTCTCCCTTCTCGCGCTTCTCCTTCCAGCTCACTGACAGGGCATAAAGCTTGTTCAAGGCTGCAGCCTCCTGGGTTTCCAACGTCATGACAAAGTCACCCGCATCTGGGACAGTTCGTCCTCCTGTCTGAGGCACAACCTGGCCAGGAGCTTGACATTCTCCTCGAGGGCCTGCACGTTGCCATCCGAATAGTGGCGGCGGGATTGATTCCAGCCTCCGCCCCCGCCCCCGCCCCATCCTCCCCCGCCTCCCCCGCCTCTCCAGTTCCGCCGGGAGTTCTGGTCTCGATTCGGCTGCTTCGAGCCCTGCGACTGCTGAGCTCCCGTACTGGATTGGCCTGGACTCCTGAGGGCTTCCGCCGCAGCTGCAAGGGGATCCAACTGGGCAGGGGCAGCCTCGTTGTTCTCGCCAGTAGCCTGTGAGGGTGCCATGCCTTTGCCTTGTCCGCCCTGACCCTTGGAGGTGGGACGCTGGTACTTGGGTCTCGTCTCGCTCTCCTTCGGTCCCATCTGAGGCTCCTGCATCGGGCCGCCCCTCTTTCCCAGTGAGGCATCCACTTCCATGGGGTCCAGATGTTGAAACATGCTTTTCACCTGGTCCAGCGGGGTCGAAGTCACTGGCTGAGAGGCCATGTTCTATGCTGCCCGGGCTTTTGTGGCTCGTGCTCCACAACTTCAAGTAGCATAAATGCTGCAGTAGTGAGCACTGATGTCGGGAAACAAATGTGTTGCCGCAAGCACCACAGGGGCTCGAGCGAGCCAGATGCACCGTATTGCAGATAGATTTCACCTCTTTTTGCAGACGATAAACCTCAGGATGAGTCTGTCTCAGATGGTTCTCAAGAGAGCCACTGCGAGAGGAAAGCCATTGTCCACAGAATGCACAATGATGTCGGAGGGTGTCACGTACTTCAGGAAGCTTCAGGGCCTCATACCAGGATTTGGATTTGAGGGCGACAAGGACATCCTTTCGTCTCTGAAGCACAAGTTGGGATCCCGCAGCGAACTGCAAAGCAGATCCCGAATCCACTATGGACGTGTCCTGAGCACCTGTCGAGTGTGCCTGTGTGGCTGAGGCTGAGGCTGAGGGGGTATGTTCCGAGTCAACATTGGGAGCAGTTTGCAAGACCACACACGAGTTCAGGATGTGCATGCGAAATTCTTGCCAGCCAGCGAGACTAGCTCGACAGTGCTTGCAGGTCGGCATGCCATCGACACTGTGCAGGGAAACATCCAGGTTCTTGTAGGCTTTGCTGCCCCGAGAAACAACAGGTCTTAATTTACTTCCGTGTTTCCTAGAATGATGGTTTTTAAGAATATGCAGGGAGGGGAAATCCACTCCACAGGTCGGGCAGGTATACCGGCGAATGCCAGGCTGCAACTCTTGAAGGCTCGTGCGAGGCAGTGCTGTACCCGAGGGTGTAGTCGAGAAGGTCTGTGTTTGCGAAGTCTGAGGATCCGCATACTTTAAGAAGCAGGATCGGATGCTGGAAATCTGTAGTCGTTGCAGCAAAGCCTCCGTGGTTTCATGAGTCAGGTGCACCGGCGACTTAGCGACCGCTCGGACATATTTGATATCTCGACGATGTAGGAGCAGCAGGTCTTTCTCCGTCAGTTGCATATGAAGAATGCCGTACAGAAGAACTGTCCGCACACAGGCTGTGTAGATGCTAAGTCTCTGCTTGGTGCTGAGGTAACGAGAATTATGCAAAATTTTGGCCAAACGTTGCCTTGCCAAGCTGGCTGCTTGTATCCGATGTCGGAGGGAGGCATTCTCAAACCTTCCATAAGAAGCTATAATGCCAAGATACTTGAACTGTTTGACTATCGGTACATCATACGTGTCAGCTCCATGCGAAAATCGAAAGAAACGCTTGCCATCCAACTGTAGCAGGTGTCGCTTCTGCCAGCGGGCTCCATGTGTACCCCCAAGCCTAAGGATGAGAGCAGATTTTTCAGGGTTGATCTTCATTCCATATCTCCGGTACACAGATAGGACAGTCACTGCGCTTCGGACAAAGAAATCTAGGTCCTGATGCGTGTCCAGATCCCAGAAGCAGTGTGTATCATCTGCATAAAGTGTCATGGAGTCTCTCGGCCACTGGCTTTGAAGTTGCTCTTCAATTCTGGACAACAGGAAAACGCTGAACAATGCCCACAGCAGTGGAGCAAGCGTGCATCCCTGACGTACTCCATTGTCAAGATAAACCATGGAGCTGTAACCCTCATGCAAGATATGGTATCTGCAGTTACAGTGGGCATCCAAGATAATGGAGATGAGTTCAGGGTCTGCCTCTGCCCATTCCAATGATTCCAGCAGGTAGCGACGCGGTAGCCGATCGAAGGCAGTGCTCATGTCAAGTGTAAGCTGTGCTCCGCCCAGAAAACGTGGTTTGGCTCGCCCTTGTCTTTTGGCATAGACTGTGTTGCGGACTGTGGTGAGCTTATGACGGACAGCCGCACAATGTGCCGAAACTCTTCGGATTGCATCTGCTGTGGACCGATTGCGCAAGTAGGCGAACTGAGGATAAAGCTCAAGCTTAGCTCTAATTTGCTCAAAAAGCCTATCCTTAAGAACCCGAGCGAGAGCCTTTCCAGAGGCGTCTTGAATCCCTAGGGGCCTAAGGGTTTCGGGGCGTTTCACAGCTTTACCCGGCTTAGGGATAAGAGTCAAATTGCAGTCGGCCCAACGATGCGGATACCCAGCCATCGTCTCAGAATGAAAGGCTTCAAGAAGGGGTCCAGCAAGGACCTTGCGGCAGAACACCCAAGCAGTTGTAGGGGCATGATTTGGTGGAACCGACCTTCCACGGCCAAGCTTTCCCAGCGAGTGAAGTACTTCGTCATGTTCAAGGATGACTGGTGCCAGCCTGGGCGTAGGTTCAACTGCATGCTGGTCTGTGCCATACAGTTCACGAAAGTAGTTCGAGATCTCGGCGTGCTCTTGCTCCGGAGTCAATAGGTGACCTTCCAAAGAGCGGATGCGCACTTTGCCCCCTTGCATCTTCGGAGCAATCGAGCGGACGACCTGATAGAGGGCCCGGACGTTGCGAGTTTGCTCTGCAAATTGTGCCTCAGCCAGTTTGTCATGCAAAACCTTCCTTCTATACCACATTCCCCGCTGCCTGAGCTCTCTGTATGCTCTCTGAAAAGCATGATGAGCCCGGAACACCTGAAAGATGTGGCGGAGGGAGAACAGTCGTAGACGAACATTGTGTGTGGTTTTGAGCATAATCCGTCGTCTGTGCCACATTTCTCGAACTGAGATTTGCACCGAATCCTGCTGCCAGGGCCGCTTGTTGGTCTTGATGCCCTGTAGTGGAAAATTGGATTTGCAGCAATCCAAGAGAAGCTCATTGAGGCTATCCGCTGTGTATTGTCCAAGGTCCTGAAGTTTCTGTTGCACCTCAGCCAGAAAAAGTAAAGACCGGTCATCACCTGAACGCAGTGAGGTTTCCAGGGATTGGCGATCATAGCCCACCTGTGGCTTGGCATGCGGGGTAGATGTGAGCCAGCCAGGCTTCAGTGCCACAGTGGCCTGCACCGGAAGATGTCTGGCACCTAACCTCCAAGGAGAGAAGTCTAATGAGGGCATCGGTTTGGCCTGCCGAGCGTGGTTGTCGGCTTGATTTCTCCTTGTCAGAATGAAATCGATTTGACTTCGAAGGCTGCCATTGATGAAAGTATTCATGTCATTCAGGTCGGAGTGGGTCCACGTATTCAAGAAACAAAGGCTGTTGGATTTGGCCATGTTCAAAAAGTCGTCCTGGTCAAAGTAGTACTTGTTGGCCGCTGGAGCCGCAGGGCCCGCTGTTCCTGTTTCCCGCCTGACAGCACAGTTAAAGTCACCAGCCAGCACTAGTACATTACGTTGTGGCAACGTGGCCAGACACCTTCCCAGAAGCGTCCAGAAATGTTCTCGTCGTGAAGCATTGACCGCGGTTGTTTCCCTGCTGCTTATGACATACTGATAGCATGACAAAAGATCGATGCTATAGTTGATCCCGCTTAGCCGAACATGCAAAATGCGGCCTGGTAGAATCTCTCGACTTCGCGTCACATACTGCCCTGCCAAGCTGGAGCGAATGGCTATAGCAACCCCTGCAAAGCGACTCTTGTTGTCAGGAGAGCTAACAATGGTCCAGCCGCCCACCTTCCACTCCGATGCCTCTGGCCCAAAGCCACGATGAGTTTCCTGCAGGAAGAGGACATCATACGGAGCTGTTTGCATCCAGACCGCCATGTGATCATACGTGGCAGAGGTCATGCCGTCCAAGTTGACAGTAAGTGTTCGCAATCTTTTCGATGATGATGAGATGTGTCGATTCACCTTATGGTTGTGGGACTTCGCTATGTTGTTTGTAGATCGTGAGAGGGACTGAAGGTCCCTGTTAGTGTAAATCCTCCCTCGATAGGTGGTGCTGCCATGTTGTATTGACCGTCTGATCGCCCGCCTGTAGGATCGCTTCCTCGCGGTCGATATATCTGCAGCCCTTAGTATGCCACCGGTTTCCCCACAATGTTTTGCAGACTCCGAAGCGCCTGCTCCCAGTGATCCTGTGGGAGGACCACTAACCCTCGCATCTGTCACCGCTGCTGCACACTGCAAAGGACCTGCTATGAGCAACCAAAGCAAAAGGTAGAGCAGCTTGCGATGACCTCGGGAATTGGGACCCGAGCGGCCGGACATAGTTCTTCGCGATCGTGACGTCAAAGATGGCCATGAATCTGGCACAGGTGTTTCTTCGCTATGGGCAGCACGCATCTGGAGATGTTTGCATTTGCAATCTCTGCCAAACATCCAAGCCCAGCTGAGAGTGTCACCCGGTTGGTTCTCAAGAAGGTTGACATAGAAGACCTGGCAAGCCCGCACATAGGCAGTGAAGAGGATGTTAGCAATAAGGAGAGCCTGTTCAGCCGCATGCAGCAACGCGAGAGCAGCTTTTCCTGGCATCAGCCCTGAGAAAGCGTGAAGGTCAATCTCTGGTTTGTCGCTCATGTCCAAACCCTTCTCGCTCAGACGTGTCCGTGGAGAAGCCAGAAGTGGTGCTGCTATCTGTGTCAGCATCCGCCATGGCGGTGTTCGCTCCTCCGGTTGCAGCTGCCGTGTCATCGTCATGGATGACGGTCCGGTCGGGGCTGAATTCCCCCTGCTCCGATTCACCATGCTCTTCCAGCTCCGCTGGAGGGTCAGCCAAGGAAACATCCACTGGCCCCTCCGGTAGATCGCGGTCCTCCTCTGGATCGTTGCGATAGAGTTCGTAGTCCCGGGCTGCCTGCTCGCGGTCGATTTTATCCGAGTCGATCGAGCCTGCCATAAAGTGTTCCAGGGAGTCAGTGGAGGGCAGCGGTGAGTCGTCGTCATCCAGAAGCCATTCAGAGGGCGGATCGTTGTCCAATTGCCCCTGGTTAACCGGAGTCGGAGGAGGAGGGCCTCGAGGACGAATATGAACGGGAGTGGTTGAGCGATCCCTAGTCGCCCGTCCTCTGCGGTAGCTTCTTGCACGCGACCGAGACCGCGATCGTAGGACCACGCCTGTGGTCGTCCCTTCATCCTCCTCCATGGGTTCTCGAGAGGGCCTCGCAGAGCTCGAAGGCACGTCCTCGCCTCCTGAAGAAGTCTGCCTATCGCTCGGTCGAAAGTCCCCAGGAGAATCTGACATACCTGTGGCTTCACCTTTTCTAAGCATAGAGCCTTGGAGCTGCGAGCCATACTGTGTTGATATGTTTTGTTCATGTCCGCAGCAATGTCATGTGACAGCATGCATATAAGCACAGTGAGCCCCACAGGAGCAGCAGTAATCAAGGCCCGGGAGACCTCGGAGTTCATCTTGAGGATCAGATCGACGTGCTTGCCACGAGCGAGGCTTTCCCTGTAAGCCCCTCGAAGAGCCCTTTGAACCCATGCAGGAAAGCGGCATATGTGTCGCAAGGTCTGCCTAGTCCATTGCGTGTAAATCCGAAGCCTTCCCGAGACAGCAGCTGTAAGCACAATCCCACATACTGTAACCAAACTCCGAATCAAAGCCCATGGTGCTCCGAAGGAACTCCACTCGTTGAGCTGGGCGCAGGATAATCCAGACGTCTTGCCAGACCAGCATAGTGGAAGTATCTTCCCAAAACCTATAGTAAAGATCGTGCAGGGAGCAGCGGGCAGAGATTGGCAGTGGCCTGATGATCTGTAGGAGATATTCCATAGCCAGTCGCAGTGTGAAGGTGCGCAGCGCGTCATCCCAGAGCCACCACTTGGCTCTACGTGGGATTTTGTTCGTGCCGTGCAGTGGGCACAGCTGCATGAACACAGCAGAAGCAACAGAAGAGCCAGCCATGCTTGCATGACAGTGCAAGACCGACTTCGCCAAAGAAACCAGCCCAAAGAAAGCCCCGAAGAAACACCAACCAAACAAGGGGCGCGACGTCACTCAGCTTCCGAGCCGAGATGCTTCTACCACTACGACTACGACTACTACTACTACTACTACTACTACTACTACTACTACTACTACTAGCATGTAACAGAGAAATATCCCCAGCACGTCGGCATGCACAACTGCTCATTACCCAATACAATGACATGGAAAATCGCTACTCTATATTTCCCCCAAAGCTCCTGACCCCGGAGCCTACCACCCAACTCTTAAATTTCAACCCACCTGCGCTCTGATCAGTGCGTCGGCACCACCGAAGGTGCATGCACCCGGGCCATCAGTATCAATATGATACAAGCGACCTTAAGGATGTTGCAAGGGATGCTTGCTGCGTGGGTGACAGTTCTGGCCTGTAGGTTGAGGGCATAGAGGGCATACAGGGCAGATGTCACATTGACCATGGCAATGCCGAAACTCTCGATGAAACACTTAGAGCCGTGGGCCTTAAACACTAACTCTCCATCTAGAAATCCCGTAATCCGAACAGAGACGGAAAAGAAATTGAAATGCTGGCTTTGGTTGTCATGATCAGAGATAAGCTTTCGGTAGTCCGCCAAGCGCATCTACCTCGAGTGACCATATACAGCTAAACCACACCTAGTCACAGTGAGGAAACGGCTAGGCTACGCATAGCTGCTCACCTCTTAGCGAAAAGTACACCTACTCTAAACCCTTGCAGGAACCCTTATAGTACCCGTATAGCAACCCTTTCAGGGAACCCTAAGGAACCGTAAGGTACTCCAGGTACAGCGGCCAAGAGCCGGGCCGCGAAGGCTTAGGGGAAGACACAGACATGTGCGGCAGAAGCCAGAGCCTCCAAAACCGCTTAATTGAGGAATATACCTTGAATCATATTAGGGATCCTAGTATGATTTGAGGTATATTTCTTATTCCCCATATATAACCCTTTAAGGAGCCCTTTAAGGAGCCCTTTAAGGCTTATTCCCTAATTAAGGGGGGGGGTTTGGAGTCTCTGGGAAAGTGCGAGCTCTGTCTGCCAGCCTTTGAGAGGACATTCCAAGGCGAGCTTCTAGCATGGGCTTGGGTAAGGTAATATACTATTTGCTTAAGAAACACCCAAAAATAATAATCCCTATATTACCCCCATAAGGAATATATTTCTTATTTTTTGGGGGTTCTTAAGCAAATAGTAGTAATATACTATGAGGGATCCTGCTCAAGGGGATTGTAAAGGCTACTATAAGGTCTATCATCATGATAAGGATTTAGTATAGGGGCCTAAATAAATACTAGTTTGCGGGGTTTTCCTCGTTATAGTTGTAGTGTACTGGGCCCCAAAACCCTAGTCGTATTATAAAGGCCCCTATAGTACGGTAGCCCTCTTGCGAGCTGGTGCACATAAGTCACGCCCCAGCGCCGAGACGAAGAGTTGAGCCAGGAGCAACAAGAGCATTGGAGACTAGGACTTGCGAGTCCTATCTTGACAATCTCGGAGGGCTCTGTCTGAGCCAAAAGGAACCAGGAGCGGTGTAGGAAAAAGGAGACTATATGGGAGTTTCCGCAAATAGGGGGCTCTATTATAGTACCCTAAATAGTGAATCCATATTATAAGGACCCCCAAATAAGATACCCCTAATTTTCGGAAACTCCCATATGTCTTGCTCCGCTTGGTTGTGCTGGCTCGGATTGGCGGCTTAGGGCCGAGGGTTCCGCAAGAAGCCGACTAGCCGACGTCCCAGCACCCCCGGGACCCTCAACGTGAAACAGCAGCTCTAGACTCTGGACTTTGCAAAAGTTGACCAGATCTTGAACCCTGTAATTCTAAACCCACATCCTTCAACTCCCTCAACCTACATCCTGATCCGCGAGCACGACTTCGCCTGGGGCTCATCGCATGCATTACTGTTGGATGCGGACTGTTTTTCCGGGCTCGTCATTTTCGAAACCTTAACCCCTAAGCCTCTAAACTCTAAACCCTAAACCTGAGGTTTCCCTAAACCTGCTAGGATTGTGTTCTAAATTCTAAAAGCCCGAAACACCTACCTGGGTGCTGTTCCTGATTCAGTTTTCTTTGAGTCATTCCCTGGAGAAGTAAATTTCATGTTGTACTATATACCTCTCTATTATGCTACCTGCTACTGTATTCTAGCGCACTCTGCTTTGTTTACTACATTCTCCTAGATTCAACTGTTCTCTGCTGTATTTCACTAGATTCTAGGATGTTCTCTTATACTCTACTTCATGCTACTACTTTCTATCATATTCTACGATGTCACACAACGTTACCATGTATACCTTGGACAGTTTCTCATGCTTCCCTACACCCACATGGTGGCCTTTATAAAGCCCTTAAAGAAGCCTTGTTCGAATCGTTGGGTGGGGCCTTTATGGGCTTCTTAGGGCTTTACGGGGTTGAAGGTTTCGTAGGGGTTTAGGGTCTGGGGGTTTAGGATTTACGGTTTAAATGTTAAGTAGTTTGGCAGGGACTAGGGTTTAGGACCTAGGATTTAGTAGACCTTGAGGGTCTGCCTTGCCGCCTGCGGGCAGGAGTGGCCACCGGCGGAGCCTCACAGAAAAAGATGTAAATTGAAAACATCTAGGTGTCTCATTGCGGATGTAGGGCAGGGTTCAGGGACCCGTCTCCCAAAATAAAGCTTATGCAACAGAGATCAGGCAGAGATCTTAACATCAAGGGCTCGACGGAAAGCAGAATATATCACTCAGGGGTCGACCTTAGGTATGTCACAAGACTTTGAAGGGTTTTGGGCGTTTTGGTGATGAGGGTGTACGGTTTTCGGATCAGCAGACACGTGATTTGACACGTTTTGGTGTTGAGGGTTATGTGGAGAGCAGACCCATGGGTTCCAGCACTCTGGGAGGCACTCTACTTGAAGGGTTTGTGGTCTTTGTGAAGTGGTTGTAGTAAAGTTGTAAGTAGACTAACCCCGCTTTGTTTTGTCTATGACATCCGATGACGTAATTTGGGCTTTCCGTCCAGAGCTGCGGCCTGAGGTAGAGATTCGATGCTGCAGAACACTCCAAGGCTGCTGAAAATCAGGATCTCAGAACCCTCAACCGCCAACCCTGAAGCACCAAAACCCCCAATGCGAAAGCCTCAACCCTGATGACGAGCTTTACAACCCGATCCCTAAGAACGGACCGGACCCTAAACCGTAAACCTTGAACCCTAAACCCGAACCCCTAAACCCTTAAACCCTAGACCGCGCCTTTGGAGGCGATGGCTCGAACGGCCCATCGGGAAAGCCATACCTCTCGCCGGATTAGAGTTCAGGGTTTAGGGCTACGGTCTACTTGGAGGATCATGGGACTTAGTAAGTAAGGTTGTAAGTACCCTATTTGGAGTCATAAGTATAGTTACCTTAATTATAACCCTGGTTACTAAGTCCATGATCCTCCAAGTAGATTGGATGATGACTTCGGGACGCCTTGATAGTTAGAATAGGGTGCTGGGGTGATGCGGACCAGCGGTCATGATCATATGAAGCACGGTCAGGTTCATTGCCTGCTCTATGGAATTGAAACATGTGCGCCCAAAAAGCAGCACCAAAACAACAGAGGGACCCCGACATCCCTACTAATTAGAATCCCTTTCAGCCACCGGCGTTGCGACGAGAAAGCACGTGAGCGGTGCCAGATGGTGCCAGCGAAGAAGCAGGTCCAGTAGAGCGGCAGCGTTCGGATGGTATGAACATCCGCTCTTGTGGGGTCGACACCGAGGAAGGGATCAAAGTCCAGTTCGACCAAAAGTCCTCTGGCTCACCGAGTGTAGCCCTAGTAATCGTCGAAGTAGTGCCATCCGAAGCATGCAGGATGCCAGATTTGATCAGAACGTCGAACCATCCAAGCTTCCCAGAACCGTCGTCGCAAGTACGGGGCCTCTTCGGCTCTGGGGACTTGGCTGTAGCAGAGGGTGAGTTGTCGATGCCGCCGCCCAAGGCAGCATCCGAAGCCGCTTCCATCTGTACTAACGATGCATCTTCTCCAGGGGGTGCTGCCGCAGCCTTAGCAGCTTTCCGCCTAGCCCGCTTGGCCCGTCTGCGCTCAGCTCGACGCTGACGCCAAGGCTGTGTCTTCCTGACCGTCAGGACTAGAAAGGCGGGCAGAGTGCTCCGGGACCGGCATTGGTGGAGCCACAGCCGCATCATCCAGCCGCAAAGCAGCTGAAATAGCAGCCGCAGCTACCGCCGCGACGGTGCGTCTCGGAGCTTCTGCCACGCACGCGGCACGCACACAGGCAGCAACCAAAGCTGCACCATGGCTTGCCTTTGTTGGGCCCATCTGGCTAAAGCACTGCCAAAGCAGTGGGCAAAACTCTAGCACAGCGTACGCCTGAGCCTTGAGAATAGGGTGCTGGGGTATGCTCTAGTAAGTCTAGTACAGATATGTAGGGACTGTAAGAGGGCGGGGTCACATTATTCCCATATTCGCCAATCTGGGGCTTAGGTCATTGAGTTTTGCCCGTAGGGTTCGGGATGCAAAAGATGCAAAATTCGTGGGGTTTAGGGTTCTGGCTGGCATGTTGCAGACCGGCAGGCAACTATAGAACGGCCATAGATATACAACCCTGGCACAGCCCGAAAGAACCTGATAGAGCCCTTATGGAAGAGTTCAGGAATTAGGGTTTAGGGTTTTGGGTTTAGGGCTAAGAGCTGAGGGGCATTGACGTGTCAATGCTGGCATTGGCTGAAGCCCACACAGCACAGAAGCAGCGGAACTGCTTCCCAAGCACAATTCCAACAGAAAATTGGAACCCTTACAACTTGAACTCAAGCCCCTGCGCCCATCTGAGCCACTGGCGGCAGAGTTTCCGAGAACTGCGCTCGCTTGAAAGCAAGCTTCTTCGGTGGACTTGGCGCGAAGTACCTCCGATGGGGCTTGCGGACTTTCAGGGTCTGGGTGAATCCCCTAAACCCCTGAGTTCCCTAAACCCTAACCCTGAACCCTGCACCCCGAAACCCCCACTAAATCGGTTTCCCTTTTCAGTTCTGAGCTGGGCGCTCGAGACGCTGGTGGGCTTGCATTGAAGGTGCACAAAGGTTTGATGGGAGAGTCAATACGCTTCAGGCTTCAAGGTTCAGGGTTTAGGGTTTTGGGTCCAGGGCCTTAGGTTTTGGTTTAGGGTCGAAGGTAGTAGGAAGCAGGGGCCTCACTAGAATCCAAAACCCCAAACCCTAAACCCCGGACCCCAACCCCTAAACCCTAAACCCTAAACCCTAAACCCTAAACCCTAAACCCTAAACCCTAAACCCTAAACCCTAAACCCTAAACCCTAAACCCCAACCCCTAAACCCTAAACCTAAACCCCCATACCCTGAATCCCACAGGCCCAAGCGGCAAAATACCCCCCCTGAGCCGAACTCGTTCAGCTTCAAAGCTCTCGAAAACTTCGTTCATGGGTTTAGGGTTCCTTTAAAGGAGCTATAAGGGTTCTATAAGAACCTGAGGGTTCCTTTCAAGCAAGCTATAAGGGTTCTATAAGAGTCTTAGGGATCCTTTACAGGGTTCAGGTGTGGGTTTAAGGTTTAGGGTGTAGGGTTTCGGGTTTCTCGTTTGGGGTTTAAGGTCTATAGGTATCAGGCCTAAAGGAATCACAAGCCACCGCCGATGCTTGGCATCGAACTTAGGACTGATTCAGATTTTCGAACCCTAAAGCCTACACCCTCACCCCTAAGCCCTGAACCCACCCTAAAGCGCATAAGTTACCAAAGCCAGGTGCCAGCTGCTAGTACTTGCGTCTTAAGCCTAGTGCTTGCGGTCCATGCGACGAGGAGACTTCGATGAAACCATCAAAACCCTGTGCAACTCCACATCGCTACGGAAACCAAGCCTAAATTCGGTAGCCCCGGAACAATGAAGTTTGGGGGCTGAGGGTGCGGATTTTGGGTTCAAGGGCTTTCCTCACTAAATTTCTTTCAATCCTCGAAAAAAAGAGCCTGGTTTCCTAATACTCAACCTGAAATCTAAACCCTAAAGCCCAGATTCCAAATTTATTCAGGTTCCTTTGAAGTACGTGTCAGAGTAGAAGCATGCCCATATACACAAACACACACACACACACACACACACACAAGAGAACACTGAATATGCAAACCCACAGACTCATATTAACAGCCCGATTTCAAAAAATAGTGAAGCCCTGAGCCCTAAAATATTGAAACCCTGAGCCCTAAAATAACGAAACCCTGAGCCCTAAAATATTGAAACCCTGAGCCCTAAAATATTGAAACCCTGAGCCCTAAAATGTTCAAACCCCAACCGAGGGCCACACTCCAAGGTGTCCGCGCAGGCGCGAATCTGTTCGGCGGCGGACGGCTGTTCGGGGGCCTCCTCGCGCATTTCGTACCTCGGCTGATTAAACTGACGGTTCAACCCTAAAAAACCCTCTCAGCTCCGAAGCCAAAACCCGTTTAGAGTTTAGAGTTTAGGGTTTAGGGGTTTAGGGGTTTAGGATTTAGGGTTTAGGGTTCGGGGTTTCGGTTTGAGGTTGATGGTTAAGGGTTTACATTGAATGTCTTGGGGCCTCTACCTTGGCAACCCGCCTGCATGTGGACAAACTCCTGCGCCTTTAGCATCCTGAACTCATCTGAGTGCTGGGGTTCCTTTCTGTATCAGGCATGATGACAACGCTGTAACCCTCAGCACAGACACCCTAAACATACCTATGCCTCTCACTCGATGACCTTAGAGCCTAACATAGGGGCCTGAAGACTTACCAATACTATTGTGGGGTTCCTTATTATGTTTATGGTACAATATACCCCCCAAACCCTATTCAAATTATTAAGGCCCCCTATATTACACATCGACAGGCCTGCTCCCTGGACTCCCCAAAAGAGTGCAAGCCAGGACGGGAAAGAGATCTCGCCCCAAACCTTCAACCCCGAAAGCAAAAGCTTTTGGGGCTTAGGATGGCTTAGGGTTTGGGGTTGTCGTACAGATGATAGACCCAAGGGTGTTTAAGGGTTAGGGCTCAGAGGTTTCATGCAATCAGTGGGGATACTCGCAAACTCGGCTTTGGAGTTTGCAGCTCACCGCTCAAGGGGCCAGGAACTCCCTGGACCCGGTAAAACCTTCCTTTTTCAGGGTTCCCTATTATGATTCCCTTATGTAGGCCCTTAAAAGTGTGCACGTCGGTCTACTTGGTGAAATTGAACCATACTGACTTACGTACATTTACACGTCACATCTGCTTTGCAATTTCTACTGATGCTCACACTAGTCAAAATGTTGCACCTACTGGTTTGAAAGGGCATTAGCGCCAACAAGCGTCTGAGGGTCCGGCTGCAGCGTGTCGACATTTTGTGCTGGAGGGCTCAATGCCTGCGCGAAAGGCTCGAGCTCCGGAGTGTGGGGTTTACAGCTAGATCCTAAACTTCCTAAAACTCCTAAACCCCTTCAACCCCTAAACCTCCTCACCCGAAACCCTTTTCAAATTTGGATCTTGGCTACGGCGACGACGACGGCCACCACCGTGTCAATAGCGAAAGATGTCCAGAGCGGTAGCAAGCGGACCCGTCGGCGGCGGCGGCGGTAGTGGTGGTGGTGGTGGTGGTGGTGGTGGTGGTGGTGGTGGTGGTGGTGGTGGTGGTGGTGGTGGTGGTGGTGGTGGTGGTGGGGATGGTGGTAAAAAGAAAAAGAACCCAGAGACTCAAAAAATCTTTGATTAAGGAATATACCTTAAATTATACTAGGATCCCGAATATGATTTGATTTAAGGTATACTTATTAATTGAGGGGTTTTGGAGTCTCTGGGAACAGTAAGAGGAGTCAGAGTCAGACTCCGGAGGCGTGGAGTCTGAGTGGAAGTGAACAGGCAGCCTCGAGACTTCCCCCAGAAAAACGACCACAGCGAACCCTAAGGCTCAAAATGGCCCAAAAGCCTATATATATATATATGGGTCTTTCGGCCCAAGAGCCTTAAAATATGAGTCCTTAAAGCCTTAGGGTAAGCATGCAACAGCCCTAACGATGTTCAAGCAGGACTCCTTTATTCGTGCGGCCCCTAAAGCTCCAAACGTCTAAACCCCTCCACCCCAAGCCCCGACCAAAGCCCAAAACCCTGAACCTAAACCCTGAAGGCCCTAAACCCCTAAACATTAACCCCTCCACCTTAAGCCCCAACCAAAACCCTAAACCCCCTAAGCCCAGAGCCTCCAGGGCTACGGCAGGGGACATGTAGGCCAATGTCTGGACACCACCCTCTTCGTCTCCTCCGAGGTTTAGGATTTCGGGCTTGGGGTTTAAGGTTTAGGTTTTTAGGTTTAGACGGTTTAGGATTTTGGGATCTTAGGTTTGGGGTTTAGGGTTTAGGATTTTTGGTCTAGGGTTTAAGGTTTAGGATTTTAGGTTTAGAGTTTAGGGTTTAGGGTTTCCGATCCCAGTGAAACGAACCCCGAACCAAAGACACCTGAAACCTTGAAGCCTAGAGTCGTCCAAGGTTCCAGCAAGCCGTTGAAACCGTTGCTTGGTGCTGCTGTGCAAGCCTAAAGAATGGCCTCTGGTCGTGAGTGTTATTTTCAAGTGCAGGTGCGAACCAAACCCAAAAGGCGTAAAGTTGGGTGCACCCATGCGGGAGCGGCAATGAGAATAACCCAACACCAAACCAAGTCGTGGTTGTCGGTTTCTGATCAAAGATGCCTTCGCCCCATATTCTTCTTCTGCCCACAACCTCACGCTGGCATTGACGCATCATATCTCCTAAGCCCGAAGCACTAGACCCTGAAGCCCGCAACCCAAAAGCCAAACTAGAACCCCTCAAGCACTAAACTTCACTAAACCCCTAAAACCTAAACCTGAAAACCCAGACCCCTAACCCTAGACCCTAACCCTAGACCCAAAACCCTGAGCCCTCAACCTTTCAGGCCCAACAACACCCTCCAAACCGCACGAGCTCCTGCACCAGAGCTGGGAGGCAAGACCTTTCTGTGTCGGGTGGCGTTGCTCTGGGGTTTGGGGTTTAGGTTTAGGGCTTCGGGGGTGGAGGGAGCTTTTCAGGCCTTAAGGCTCTTCGGTGTGCGGATAGCTCGGCCGAGAACTCTCCCGGTTTACGTTTCAGTTTTCACTGACGGCCGTTGCCAAAAAGTGTCAAACAGAGGCACAGGCACAGGCACACGCACGCACACAGAGTACATATACACTTGATGCCAACCTGGTATATTTAAGGCGAAGGCATTGCTGCAGAACCCACATTCCTTACCTTTGGTTAGCAGGGAATTGGAGGAATGGGGTACAACAATAACTACTATTACTACCATTCTTCCATTCCCTACTAACCACAGGTAAGATTCTACAGGTGTGAGAACTCCCACGACCCATCCGCAGAGCCCCTCCGAGGGAAAGCTGTCGCCGGGGCTTTGGGGGCGGCCCCCCAAATATCCCGGACGGGTCGAGAGATTGTTTAGGATTTCCCAGAGAGCCCAATACCCTTAAATTGGAAGGGGATTCATATTATGATTGAACTAAATTCCTTTATCAAGGTGTTTTTGGTGAGCCGGCCAACGAAAACTTTCAGCTCAGCTCAAAAGGCGAATGTATCTGAATGCATGTATGCATATGTACACGTATACATATATGTTTATACGTATACGTACAGCTATCGATACATGCATGCATGCATGCATGCATGCATGCATGGATAGATGGATGGATGGGTGGATGGATGGAGCAATAGGACATTCGTAGCTATTTCAGGCTTCAGGTTTCTTTATTCAGCTTAAGCAGCTGGGGTTTATAACTCGGGGCGGCGCTTGGAAATGCGGCTCAAGCAGCCCCACGGCATTAGGCCCCCATTGAATAAGAAGTTTAATTTCTTCAAACCCAAGAGCCCAAATTCTCAACACACTGAAGGCATGCTCCAGAGAAGCATAAAATCACACAGGAACAGCGACGATAACACGACACAGAACGCCAATCAGTGGAAGCCGCAGTCGTCATCGGCATGGTCGTCCAAGCAATCGCTGCGGCAGCAGCAGCCTTCGTCGCAAAAATCGTCGCCGTCGGTGTCGGCATCGTCGTCGTCGCCGGCGGTGTCACAGTCATCCATGTCACCACACCCCCATGCACCCAGGACCCTGAGCTCCGCACATAAATCTGCGTGTCGTCGCAAGCCAAGCTGCGCCTCGCCTCGTCGAAGCGGCTTGGGCTTCAGCTCTTCATGGGGCTTAGAAGCCTCGGTATAAGGACCGAAAGTGAATTAGGGTGTAGGGTTTAGCGCTGAGGGTTCGTAGCTTAGTGGGGTGATTCAAAGTTTCGGGTTTAGGACTGTGATCGCCGTTGCTCCAAGATGAGAACCGGTATTTACACAGCACCAGGTCTCTGAGGCACGATCATCCTAAGTAGGTGTCGATATGAACAATCCCCCATTAATTAACGCTCTGTATTAAGCAATAAAAGAAAGCAATATCTATCTAAAATCGATAACAGATGCAGGTGTTGACTAAGAAACCCTTCAATTCAACAGACACGGACATGAAGGTCATGTTTTTGACACGGAACAGGAGCTCCTCCAAACGACTGATATCTGCGAAAGCAAACCTCGACGTACGCGTGGGTGGTTGTCAAAATTAGGGTCCCTTTTTGGGTGCCCCAAATAATAGGTGCCGTATTATAGTAGGGACCTCAAAAGGGACCATAATTTTGACAATCACCCACGTACCAGTATCCCGAAGTTGTCGCCGACTACAACTGTAGTTTGAACTCTAACTCATTCAACGGAAATGCATGGTTTCAGCACCCCAAGAATCAATGACCCATGATCCACAGCACCAGTTGGGAACAGCAGCTTAGGACATTGATCGGCATACACGGCGCAGCAAAGGTCTTGAAACGTGGATAGGCAACCCTAAACCCTAAACCCTAAACCCTAAACCCTAAACCCAAAACCGGCAACAAGCAGGCAAAGCCACGTGCTGCCTTGCCTTGCACCAGTCCTCCCCCCGAAGCCCTCGACCTAGAGACCCTGTGCCAACCTTTCCACCAACCAAAGAGAGCCCAATACCCCTTGATTAAGGAATATACCTTGGATAATAAGGGGGTTCATAGTATGATTTAAGTCATATTCATTAATTAAGGGGTATTGGGCTCTCTGGGAACCCTTCAAAGACTCTGAATCCGCAACCGGCGCATGCCTCGCGGAAAGGGGACGGAGCTTTCTCAACAGCCCCGCTCTGCTCGGAAGCACGGGCCTTGGGGCATTGAGTTTAGGGTTGAAGCCGCATTTACGGTTTAGAGTTTCAGAGCCACGGTTTAGGGTTTAGGGTATTAGGGTTTTGGGTTTAGGGTGTGTAAGGTCTACCGTGGACAAGCACGTAGGCGAGCGTCTCGCGACAAGGTCTGTCTATGGAGGCGGCAGCCCCCCAACCTAGTCTGTCTAGAGTTTGAGCCTACGCCGGGATTGGCAAAACTGGCTAAGAAAATGGATTTTAGGGTTCAGGGTTTTAGAGTTTAGGGTTTTAGGTTTTAGGATTTGGCTTAGGACTTGAAGCCTTTAGGGTTTATGGTTTTGGAGTGTTTGAGGCTGGCTTGAGGGTTTAGGTTTAAGGACTTCGCGTTTAAGCATATTGCGGTTTAGGGTTTTGGGCTTTCTGCTTTAGGTGAACCCTAGGTTCAAAGGAATTCAACGATCACATGATTTGTCCAGCTTCCTACGGGCTGTGTCGAGTTTTCGCAGACAAGCTTTGCGCAGGTTCTAGTCGGGATTCTTTCCTATTAGATTTGATACTCATAAATCAGATCCGGGCTTTGTGGGATCTGTATGTGGAAGCTTGGGTGTTAGGCTGCGAGAAGCTTTCGCGATTTAGGGGTACCCTAAACCCTAAGCCCTCCATAATCCCAGACTCTAAACTCTAAACCCCAAACCCTACCTAACCCCAGACTCTAAACTAAAACAACCCTAAACCCTGAACCGATTTGAAGCTGCATCCGTCGGACAAGAAACCGCAAACTCCCCAGCTGGAAGACCCTGAGTCCCTGAAGCTTCCAATGCCCTTAAGACAGGGGCCTTGATGATTGGAATAGGGTTCCAGGTTCCTTAAAGAGCCCTATAAGGAATCTATAGTAAGGTGCTATAGTATAGAGGCCTTGATAGTTAGAACAGAGTTCTGGAGCATATTCTACTATAACTTTGATAAGGAACCCCCAAAACAGTATAGGTCATGATTAAGGCTTCTATATTAGCCCGGGAACCCTTAAATGGGAGCCACACAGGGCTCGTCGAGCTGATTGCGCCCTCAGAGCTCGTACGCTTTGTGGCCGACCTGCCCCCATCAAGTGCGATCTTCTCCTACTTGTCCAGTATCCTTTTGAAGTGAAGGTTAACCCTTGGGAGTATATTGGGACCAGATAGGGAGAATAGGACCCCAGAAAGGTTAAAGGTTATCTACTATACCGCTGGGTTTTAGGAGTTGACAAAAGAACTCAATTACAAGCGTTTGGGAGGGGGGGCGCCCGCTACTACCACAGAAGGATGTAGGAAGAATCTATCACATTGCACTACTCACAGCCGGGTTCGGATTTCGGAGCTGGGACCACTACATACTTGGAGGGTCGGGGGACGTAGTAACTGGTTATTTTAGGGACTTATAAGTACCATAACCCCAATTAGGGTCCCTTCTAAGTTGGTGCTTAGGGTCTGTGCCAGGTTCAGGCGTTGAGATACTACGGATCAGAAATCTGTCAAAGCCCTAAAACCTAAACCCTAGGTGGCTCCCCGACTGGTGTTCCGGGCTCTGGGGCATTTGCGGGGTTAAATGCCATGTCACCGGCGGCCAGGGCTGACAAGCCCCGCAAATCATGGGTCCTTTTTTTTAAGAGGGTTGTGAAAAAAGAGGTCTAAAGTCTAGAGCTGCAACACAAGACGCCGGGCAAGGTGCCAAGGCCATGTCAGTAGCCGGGAACTGATGAAATCAAGGTTCGAAAGCCCAAAAAGTGCATGCACCCGAAAACATCCAACCCTTGGATCTTGGTCGGCGTGCCGGCATGTCAGCCTCGGCCGTGTCAGAGAGCATGGTCCATGCTAAGTCAGGGGAACCCGTGGCCAAGACGTCCACAAAGGATGCACCAAGCACGAAGTCATCTGTGGGCTGCTGCTGCAAAGGCGAAGCCCGGCGACACTGCAGTACAAGGGGGCTGCCAGCCGGTAAAGCACAATGGCATGGTCGGCGGGGCCAATCTCCTGCTGGCGGGCTTGCGGTTGCAGCTCAGGTTGAGCAATCATGAAGTCGATGGTCCGGGTTGCAAGCACCATTCTTGTGCGTCGAGTGCTGCTGTGGGACTGCACCACAAAGAAGAGGCCGTCCCACGATCGAGCAGGACCAGCAAACATAGGTGGTTGTCAAAATTATGGTCCCTTTTTGGTTACTTATTGTAATACGGCACCTAATATTTAGGGTAACTACCCACATGGCAGTGGCAGTGGAGTACGGCCACCGGTCTTGCAGATGGTCGCGACTGGATGCCTCTCGCAACCTCGAAACCCAGAAGCATTAAGACCAAGCGCAAACCCGAAGCCCGCCTAACAATTACCTAAACCCTCCTGAACCCACACCGAGGTAAGGTTTTAGGGTTTGGGGCTTGGGGTTTAGTCTAACTCCAATATAACGCTAAACCTCGAGGCCAGCACGCCGAAACTCTGCAAATTCCCCCATAGACTCTCAACCACCCAAGGCACGAAGCCGCAAACAAGGAGGCCGTGACTAAACGCTGGCATAACACGAAGTCGCTTCGTGAATCGAATCAGAAAACTAGTGCTAAAACGACGACTACTGCTACTCCTACTGCTCCTACTGCTCCTGCTGCTCGTACTCCTCCTACTCACTGGTGCTCCTCCTACTCCTACTCCTACTCTTACTGCTCCTCCTCCCCCTACTCCTTCCTACTCCTACTCCTAACTAGTACTACTAGTACTACTGACTATTACGAATTACTACTAGCTGCTGGCGGCGACTACTACTAGCTAATACTAGCTACTACTACTGCTACTACTGCTACTACTGCTACTACTGCTACTACTGCTACCGCTACCGCTACCGCTACTGCTACTGCTTCTACTGCTTCTACTGCTACTACTACTACTACTACTACTACTTCTACTACCCCACGCCGCCGACCTGACTGTGGAGCTCACTGCCGAGTCCTAGCATCACTGGCTGCTTGGGGTTTCAGGGTTGACCTTTCGGAGTTCAGAGCTTTGGCGTTTACATACATAGAGTTTTCAAGAACGAGTCCGCTTGTCGGGTTTAGGGTTTAGGGTTGTTTGGGGCTAGGGTTTCAGGGATTAGGGTTTAGGTTTTAGGGTTTGGGGTTTGGGGTTCAGGGTTTAGCAGGTTTAGTTGATTCTTCGGGGCCTGGGGCTTCGGGCTTGAATGGCTTGCGCCGAAGCTGGCTTACAGGGGTGCGGAGGGCTTGCCTCAGTGCTTCGGGTTTAGGGTTTGCGGTTTCGGGTTTAGGGCTTCGGGCCATGTGATCGCAAGTTCGGCAATCCGGTTCCGCATTCAAAGGTTTGGAGATTCAGGGCATACTGTAATATGACAGAACAGAATGTAGCATAACATAAGATAGCGTAGTATCGTATATTTGCATATGGGTGGCTGTCAAAAATAGGGTCCCTTTTTGGGTCAATATTGTAATACGGCACCTAATCTTTAGGATACCCAAAAAGGGACCCCTATTTTTGACAACTACCCATATGATGGAGAAAAGTTTGAACCCTAAGCCTCGAGATTTCAGACCCAGGATCTGGCGGAACTTGGGGCTCGAGGGTCTTAGCTTTGGTTAGTAGGGAAGAGTTTAGGGTTTAGGGTTAGGACTTAGGGTTTAGGGTATGGGGTTTCCATACTATAACTATCATTCTTCCATTCCCTACTAACCAAAGGTAAGGAGGGTGGGATCCGGCGAGTGTTTTGGGAATGTCAACCTGCTATGGGCAGGTACCGACCCTAAACTACCATAACCTACTTAGCTTGTAGGTTCGTATGATAAACCCTAATGTGGATCTTATAGGGGTGGAAATTTTTTTGCAAACTTTATAGGGGCTCTACAAAAAAAGTAGGTTTTGGTAGGTTAAGGGAGGCTTCAGAAGATTCATCCCCGGGCCTTCAGGCAACCCTGCGAACTTTGGAGCTCCGGGTCGAAGCCTTAAAGGAGGGACCCTTAACAAGGACCCCTAGGCATATACCCTCAATATAGCTATGATAGGTATATACCCTTAATATAGCTATTATATACCCATGATATAGCCCATTATAGGGTAGGGATCCCTATTAAGGGTCCCTGCTCTTCCCCTTTGATGGCTTTAAGCTCGGAACGTGTCGGATTTTCTCGAGGGTTTAGGGTTCGTTTAGGGCCTAAGGCTTTGGAGGCCTTGGGGTATGGTTTGGGCGCTAGTTCGGGGTTTTTGGTTCAGGGTGTAGGTTTAGGGTTCAGGATTTGTTTAGGGGTTTAGCGCTTAGGGTTGGAGCGAAACGGTTAAGCCAAAACTCACACCCGACTTTCCGCACGGCATCCTGCACATGGAATGCCTCCTGCGCCCCGCAATCGAACGATGCCTCTGTCGGAGGCAAAAGTTTCGTCAAATATTGGATGTTTGCAGGCTAGTGTTCTATAGCCTGACACATCAGATCGCTGACTGCACCATACATTATTGACGAGTCTGCTTCTGTTGAGGCTGACCTTTGTGTTGAGTTGCTGGGAGAGTGATGGATAACAACCATGAGACCACACACCACGAGTCAACTCTACCATCTCCTTGTACCGCTTCTGAAGGCTGCATCGCAACTCTGGAACCTGAGAACAGGAAGCACGAAACCCTTCAACCACCCAAAGCCATGCAACAGGGACAAGGTGAGACGAAAAAGATGACAAGCTTCTTTGCTAAGAGCTTGAAGGACAGTATCCGCGTTCGGCGCGGCATGTACTTTGCAGCACCGCATTGAGGAACATATTGACTGAAGGCTCTTTTAAGATTATGCAAAAGCTTCTGCCAGAAGGCCTCATGGTCATCGATGTCCTGCGTTGACAGGATGTTCGCTTGCGGCCTCTCCTGCGTGGCTGCCACCCGCGACACTACAGCACACAGCATTCAGGCAGTGTTTGCCAGGTCAAAGGCTAATGTTTGGGGGTCTAACGTTTTGGGAGTAAGGCCCTCAGTTTGGCCTTTCTCAATAGTCTGGAAATGTCTGGAAAGTGTCACCGCAAATGGAGGGACAACCAGAGGAAAGCTTCCCAGAGCCTCCAAAACCCCCCCCTAAGGAATATGCTTTAAAAATATAATAGGATCCCCTAACCTGATTTAAGGTATCTTCCTTCATGAAGTGGTTTCGGAGGCTCTGGGCACGGGCGACTTGCTGACTGCATGGTGCCGCGGCCTGCAGGCTGTCCCGGACGCCTCGCTGAACCGCGGGGGGCGAGGAAGCCTTCTCTTCGGCCGCACCTGCAAAGATTCGAAGCTTGAGGATGACGGCTTCAACTTTTTTGGGGTTTAGGGCTTCGCGATGTAGGGTTTAGGGTTTAGGGGCTTAGGGAAGATAGCAAAACTTCGCCACTCGGAAGCGATGGTGGTCGTACTGTCTGGTGCTAAACTCTCAAGATCAGAGTGAGAATCGATGGTTGTGAGCTGCCCAAAGTAAGCCCACTCCCTGTCACTGATTCCCTAATTCCTAAATCGTGACTTCTGATGCCTGAAACCCATGCGTTTAGGGTGCCAGGGTTTGAGAGCGTGGGGCTCGATGTCAAAAGCTTGGCTCCAAGGGAATACTGAGATACGATATACTACATACTATTTGCTATATACTATATACTGATACTATTGAATACCATATACTAAAGTACTATATACCACATACTAAATACTAGATACCATATACTAAATATTACAGACCATATACGACATACTATAGAGACGGTTCGAGGTTCTTCGGCGTATGCAATACACATCCAAGACCCTGGGTGCGACTGTGCTCATCTGCAGGCGGCGGCGTGTGGTCAAAGTATTCGCGAAGCGCAAACAAGCCCAAGATTTTGGGCCCGAGGACGTTAGGCTTTGGATTTAGGGTTTAGAGGTTTAGGGTTTAGGATTGTCTGTTTCAGGGTTTGCGGCTTTGGGGTTTTAGTCCCAGGTTGCAGGGTCGGTCCAACATGGTTGGACACATTGGGTTTGCTGGGAACCCGCCCTCAGAGGAGGATATATGGTTGTGGATCCGCAGCGGAGGCATCAAAGTGCAAAAGTCTGAAATCGAACAGCAACCGAACCCTGAATCCGAAAAGACGAAAACCACGCCCGAACCAAGGTTTGAAGTTGCATAGACCTCACACCTGTAAAACACAACAAGGGCTCGTAAACCGAACGATCCCGAATGCGAAAGCCAAAAGTAGAGGACCTTGCTTTTCCAGCCGTGGTGCAGCTGGAAGGTCCTTCTGGGCTTGGGGTTTAAGGACGGAAGTAAAACAATCTATGCCGCAGAATAGGATGGAAGATAGCAGCGAAAAGGAGCATAAAGCAGGTAGAGTAAGTGCTGGATAGTATAGTACAGTCTTTCACAGTATAGTACGGCAGATAGAGAATACTGAAGCAAATTATAGATCCTATCATATCGTCCGAAGTGTAGCGTACAGCAAGTGGTATCGCTTACAGCATAGTGAACAGTGCAGTATGTAGTATAGCACATAGTACAGTATATATTGTAGTATATAGCATAGTAGACAGTCTCGAATGCACCATCGTATATAGTATAGTATAGTATAGTATAGTATAGTAAAACATGGACTGGTAAAGTATACAACAACACAACGCCTACAGTAAAAAATCTCATATAATACAGCTTACATATAGCATGCAGTAAAGCGTGTAGTAAACTACACAGTATACTATAGTATAGTCTCTGATTTATAGTGCTGTATAATATATAATGTACTACGTCATATGGTATAATACAGTATAGCATAGCATAGAGTCTACAGTAGATAGCAGTATGGCATAGTATGATACGGTAAGCAATAAAAAGTTTCTTTACTATACTTTGCTAGACTACTATAACTTTCTATACTTTGCTATATCTCACTATACTTGGTCATACAATACTTTAATTTACTCTACTCTATTATACTATGCTATACTATACCACACCATATTATACTACACTGCACCGCGCTGTACTGTCCTGACTGTACCAAGCTGGCCTGTGCTGTACTATAGTCTGTGCTACACTGTACTATACTGTCCGGTACTGGACTGCACTGTACGGTACACTATTGTGCATACCGTACTATATCCGTACGGTGTTGCCAGATCCATTCAGTTAAAAAAATGACACAAACTAGTGTTGTCTGCTATAAGATTTCATTCTAGGCTCCGTTTCTCAAGACAAAAGTTTAAGGTCCGGCACTGAAGCCTTGAGACCACAAAGATGGACAGGAAACACTTCGTTGGGTTTGAAGCTCTGGGTTCCACGTTTCAGCTTGTCGAGCAAACTGTAGAAACCTAAGCAACTAACCGCAACCACTCTCCACTAAAGGCCGTGGTAATAAGATTCGTGATCGGTGGCTCCGCGGCTTCGATGGATCACAAGCTACTCGCTGGACCCAGATTCTGGCGCCACCTCTGCGATTTACGATCCAAACAGAAATCCACAGAAGGATGCAGGCGCATGATCTCCTGTTTTGCAAGGACCAATAAAAACTGTGCAATTCGGGATCTAAAGTTTAAAACAACTCCGAAGCCTAAGCCTTCAATCCCACACCGCCAACCCCAAACACGAGGTTTGCGCTGGGAGGCGCAGCTGCCTCGTACCCCCAGCACAGGGAAGCTCCCCAGAGGTCAAAAGAATCGGACATGATCCTCCAGGGAGTCGGCATTAACCACTTCCATTATTACGAACAGCATGATGCCTATGAACAAGGGTGTTTCTTAGATTGACTGTAGAACATGATGCTTGGAGCAACAGTTCCGGATAACGCCATCAAATGTTGCACAATTCTGAGAACCTCTTGCTCGCAATCTCGCAAAAACCCCCTATCCCAAACCCTAAACTGCCTGGCGATAACGGCTCAGCATGACGCGGGAGGCATCAATCAGGTTTTAGAGCACTGACTTCAGGAGTCGCATTCATGTTGTTGCAATTGCGGAGCGCAGTCTTCTAAACTTGAACTCTCCCATATCATGTTCCATGGGTGATGTACAAACGATGTACAAACATGTCTTACTTGGGCTGAAACACCTGCTTGCATGCACATTTGCCATGAAACTCTGCTTAAATGCGCAACTTTTGTTGCTCACTGTCCCCACACGCTTCATCGCTCTCTCTCTCTCTCTCTCTCGCAAAACACCAGTTTCAAGGACGTTGTTTTGACTAAAATGTTTGCAGATACCGCTGTACAAGGACACAAAAAGGTTCCCACAAACTTGCAAGCTGTCGGGACCGCTGCCTTGCATCATTACAACCAGATTACTGTCCTCGAGAGAACGGTGAAGGAAGTGGAGTTTTGTTCAATGTTTTGTTGCCGTCAATAGCCGATCTCCACTTTGCATGTTCTCTTGTGAGAACAGGTGACTGTGCATCACCACGTCGTGGAAATCAAAGTTCGCTCTTACGACAAAAGAATGAAGCTGGCCAGACTCGGACAGCACAACAAGACCATGAACGTTTACACCATATTGCGATTTTGATTTTTTGGTGACATCAAACTAAACCGGAATAACGCGGAGTGAAACGACTGCGCTTGGTGCAGTGCGAGGCTTGAGAGATGTTTTCAAAACAAGAACGTGAGTCCAGCCTTGTACATGCACAACCGAAAAAAAATCATATCTTTTCTTCTACCTGAAGGATTGCTTGTGACTAGTGACTAGGTGCCTGCTATCCAAACTGGATGGTGCGAAACTTACCCATAAAAATCTAATACTTGCACTCAACTACACACTGTGTGGGCTCGTCTCAACTGGCGCCACATTTCCCTTTCATGTTGACTTCATATGTATAATCCCCGCCTCAATTACAAAACCCGACCCCCTGAACTGAATTATAAACCCGTCATCAATTACAAAACCCCCAGCAACGAACCAAAAAAAATCGACATATTTTTGCGCCTTTAAAGGCCAGGAAAAGGGCAGCAAGCTTTGGAAACCAAGCCCTTCATTGGGAAAGCTTTGGCTTCCAAAGCCACGGGACTCCGAAACCGCAGATGTAGAGGGCTTCAGAAAAGCTCCTTATTCCCGGAGCCAAAAATCAATCCATCCTGATGGAGTAACAAAGCCGTTCTTCTGGATTATAAACCCCCCTCAATTGTGAACTCCCGGGCCGCGTGGTGGTGCCTTCAGAGGCCAGGATAAAAGCCGAAAGTTTCAGCAAGTTTTAAAAACCAAGCCCTTCATTGGGAAAACTTTGGCTTCCAAAGCCAAGGGACTCCGAAACCGCAGATTTAGAGAGCTTCAGAAACCATGCCTTCCTTAATGAAACCCCTTATTCCCGGAGCCAAAAATCAATCCATCCTGATGAAGTACTAACAAAAACCGTTACCCTGAATTATAAATCCCTCTCAATTATAAACTCCTTTCGGGGCGGGCCGTGTGGTGGCCTTTAAATTTAAAGACTTGGAAAAGGACAGCAAGCTTTAGAAGCCAAACCCTTGATTGGGAAAACTTTGGATTCAAAAGGACAGGAAGCTTTACAAGCTCTTCATTGGGAAAGCTCCGGATTCAACAGGACAACAAGCTGTAGGAGCACAGTCTTTGGTGGAAATAACCTAGCTTTAAGAGCCATGCCCTTGCTTGCGAAAGCCATGCCCTTGCTTGCGAAAGCTTCGGCTTGCAAAAAAGGAGCAAAAAAAAAAACAGTATCATTATTCATTGCTGAGATCGCACAGCACAATTCAGACTTTACCAAACGTGCCTTGACCGCTACTGTACTACTGCCGTACAACTGTACAACTGTACTGCTGTGCTACTGTATTGCTGTACTACTGCACTACTTTACTGCTGTTGTACTATTGTGATACTGTAACACAACTATTACTAGTACTACTACTATTACTACTACTACTACTACTACTACTACTACTACTACTACTACTACTACTACTACTACTATGACTACTACTACTAGTACTACTACTACTACTACTACTACTACTGCTACTACTACTACTACTACTACTACTGCTACTACTACTACTACTACTACCACTACTCCTACTACTACTACTCCTGCTGAGGCTGCTACTACTACTACTACTACTACTACTACTCCTGCTGAGGCTGCTACTACTACTACTACTACTACTACTACTACTGCTACTACTGTACTATCGTGATACTGAACTACTGTACAACGACGAACGACCCCCCCCTCAATAGTCAATCCCCCAAATCCGGAGCCAGCAATCAATCAAGGGGGGGGTTACTAATTCGAAGTGGACATTAGGTGTGTTTGAAGAGCATGAACAAAATTTAAAGAACTTTCGCCCACAAGATTGTACAGCTTTAAAGAACAGCCACGCACACCATCCGGTTATTGGAGTGAAAAAATGGATGTCAACAAAGCACTGTGCAAGTTCACTTTCAAAAATAGTCCACCAATTGCACTTGAAAAAGACATGGTGGAGGCAGGGAGAAAGAAAGTCAGACGTCTTTGCATTGGAGGGGAAAAATTAGCGAATAAAACAAAACGTTACTGAACTTCTGCTCCTGTTCGAGTGGCTTTCTTCTTCGTCATTTTTCCGAATCTTCCTCAAAGCGAATTTGGAAACATCGAAGAAGAGTGCGCCAACTTGCTGCGACGAAACTCTGTTCCTCAATATTAAAACAAACCCACCAATTTTGCGATAAGATATAACTGTTTAACAGATTTATAGTTACCATGGAAAGGAAATGATATTACACCAGCCAGAAACATCTGAGATGAGTTTGTCCTCAAACAAACAGAAATATAATGATCATCACAAACTTATTAATACCATTACACACTAACAAGAATACCAAAAACTTTAAAACATTCATACCAAATCCTGGCGAACAATCTAACAATACAAACATAACTATCATACAGCTACAAATATAACCACCAGTAAACATAACAAAACTACTTCTATATATATATATATGTGTATAAAGATAATAAAACAGGAAACACTCCAATCTTGTAGCAACCATTACGGTCGTCGGAAAAGACGGGCCAATCGTTTCAGCAGCAACAGACTCCAACAGCGTAGCAAATCATCAGCTGTCGTGCGCGAACGAGAAGAAATTCTGGCGACATGAAGCAATGTTGGGAAGGCGTCACATCTTCACAGCGGCGCTACTCATGAGCTTTTCAGTCCAACTCACCCGCAAGAGGACACATCAGCCAAGGGCGCGTGTCAAGTAAAGCATCAGTTGTGCTGAGTCATGACGATTCCACAGTGGAGCAATGGGAAGTCGAGTATCGGTCCCTTACAGCAGTGACGCGTTGCGCACGGGCACTTGCTTGGGTGCCAATGACATTGGGATGAGGCTGCCGTCGCGAACAGGTGATTTCTGCCCTTTCAGAGCCCGATGTTCGTCTAAGATAAGCCACCACCAAACAGCGGGTCGTGCAAGCCCGTACCAAGACAAATCTAATCTTTGGGCCTCCTGGAGCTGCAATACCGGCTTACACAGCTAGGCCCAATGAGAACAGCGCATTTGAGCTACGTAAAGTTGACAGCTGCCAAAGTTCTGTGAGCTCACCTGAGTTCACAAGCGGGAACACTTAAGAGCAAGGGAGAGGAGCAATTTGCAAGCAGCGAGAAACAGCAGAGTCCGTTCCAAGCACGGAAAGGACTGCATCGCTGGCAATAGGCATTCAATAGGCGCCTCAAGGGAACGGACAGCATGCTGGTATCCAACTAAAATTATACCTGGCAAAGTCTTCCACATTCTCGGCGGATTCGGCCACCGGAGACCTGGATTTGGGCTCCACTCGCTGTCATGGGTGCCCTCCTCGCAGGGGGTGGCAATTCGGAAAATGTGTACAGCTCCTGGTGTTCGACTGGTGGATGTTATCATCTCGAGCTCACACATTTCTGGGTGCGTGAAACCTCTCTGTGCTTCGGTTTGCGTGCTGCTACTGCCCAGTCGGTGAATCCCTCCTACCCTCGCAAGATCGGGGAATTCCAAGTCCAATTTCAGGAGCCGTGGACTCTTGTCTCTGAGAAATCCAAGGAGTAAATCCAGAGGATGAAGCAACAGGGGCCTCTGAAGTTGAGGTGGATGGAAATCCCGGACGTGAGGAGACATGAAGTCCAGAGGATGAGGCAGGATGGGCCTTTGAGGCGGAAGTGGATGGAAGTCCAGGACGTGAGGTAGTGGAAAGTCCATGAGGAGGATGGCCAGTTAGACCCGCAAGCCTTGTAGCTGGGATATCTTGTGAGTGACTGGGTCTAGCATCAACCTGTACGTGCACGCAAGGCCTGGCGCTACTCTCAACTGCGGCCTCAGCGGTTGGACCTCTTCTCCGAATTCCAAAGTCCTCAACTTTCCTCTTTATAGCCCTCCTAACAGCCTCTTGCCTTCTATCTCGACGGTTTCTTGCTTGATCATCACCTTCATCATCATCTGGAGCCCTTCTCGTATTGACCCAGCAACTCCTCAGGCATTGCTTTCCCGGTTCCCCTCTGCAAAGAACTGACAATGCAAGCATGACTACCAGTATTAGTCAACCCATCGGCCAGCTGTGCATCTCCCGCGCACTGCTCCAGCTGTAGCTCGTCTCTATCTTGGAGGTCCTTCAAGTAATTTCCTCGTACGTGCAAATGGCGTGTGCGTGCGCTGCCATTGCCCTCACTCAGAGCGACAGTGTTGTGGTTTGCACAGACGCATCGTT